AAAAAGGAAAAAAAAAAATATATATATATACACACACACACACACACACACACACATATTATTAGCAGTAATGACATTATTAGAAACAAATATAGAAAATGATAGGTAAAAAAATTTGAAGGAATAAAAGAAAGGAGGTCCAGAATTATTTTTTTCTATTTTTTTGAAATAGCAGACTATTTAGAAACAAAACTTTTATTATTTTTGTGAACTCAGTATAGTGTTCAATTGAGATACATAATTACAAATGATAAAAGGTGATATATGATAACTCTGTGCCCTAGTAACTTTAAGTACACATGCATTACAATTATATAGGCCCTTTCCAATTATTTTTTAAAAATTTGTATTCAAGATACATAAATAAATAGAGTTATAAAATTAGAAGACCATTCATACTAGTGTATTTGTTTACCTCTGAGTTCTATTTGGAAAGGATAAAATGGCAAGACAAGAGGATGAAAAATTCAAATTCATTTTTGAGAAATGTAGAAAAACTGATAAAAATGAATCTGTGGGTGTCTTACCTTTGCTGCTTTTGAGTATGTTCTTCTAAATTTTTCTTTTCCTTAGTATAATAGCCAGTAATGTAAGATAAGATTGGTTGAACTGCGGTTGTAGCTCAGGGATAGAAGCACTTAACCTGGTATGTGTGAGGCACTGGGTTCAATTCTCAGCACCACATATAAATCATTGATTGTTATCTGAATCTTTCAGAGTTCTCACCCTTCCCTAAATTCTATATGTTCAGACTTTTAGGTCTCTGCAATATAGTTTCTACATTGTCCATATAAAGTCCTAATGCAGATGATAAAAAATCTCAACTAGAATATTAAAAATACCCTATTTGGAAATAACTAGAATAGATTTAATTCCTTTGGACCCTTTAGAATTTGGTATTTTATGTTTCTAAATAATTACAATGATAATTTCCCTTTTTTATTATTGTTTAAATATATTGAGCCAATAAAGCATTTTAGTTCATGTCTTTATAGTCATCATAAATTGTTGAGTTAATCAAATGTGTTTTTGTCTGCCTTCTTTTAAGGTAGTCATTGCAAAGTCCACAGGATCGTGGTCATCCTCATATGCCATGAAGGACTGTTCATAGAAACAATTCATTTAATTGCCTGAATTGTGAAACATTTTCTTCCATCTGTATTATTAAGAAGAAACCATAATGATACCTAAATCAGAACATGTTGCTTCTCACACCAGTATGGAAGAGAGCTTGACAGCTAAGATACAGTTGAGTCCTAAGCACTTCTAAGTCAGAATTTGCCACCTAAGAATCTGAGAGCTCTGACAAGCTTCAAATGATCAATTTGGGTTATGTTCCAGCATTATTTCTTAGGTTCTTATTTCTTAGGTTCTAAAAAGAGATACTGCTGAACTAAATGATTATATTCCACATATAGTAGGAAAAATTGGTGATTCTGCTGTATCACTGGGTACAAAAAAGAACCTTTCTATATACACACATACACACACACACACACACACACACACACACACACACACATTTTTGACCATGTAATATTCATTTCTGTGAGGTCTAAGGAAAAGTATCCTAAATAGAAAAATTTTATAGTAGAAAGATGCTCATTATTTTTAGTAATCAGAAAATGGAGATAGCCAGAGTAGGAGGATGGAATATAATGCAGCTGTTTAAAATGATATTTCTATAATCTATAGAAAAATTCTTATAGTAAGATTACATATAAATATATATAATATGTACTAATATAAATGTAAATTACACCTTGTGTTTGAAGCTATCTGAAAATGCATAGAAAAAAACTAAAAGGAAGTACTCAAAATTTAGACATCTTAGTTTCTTCCTTTGCTTTATTTTCCATATATTTTCTAATGAGTGTATATTACTTTTTTTATAGTTGAAAAGAAAGTAAACTTTAAAAAAGAAGAAAAGTTATACAATAAGATATTATAATTTATTCTGATGATATATGTGAGTCATTTTGAAAGAATTGTTTTTGCTTGAGTTTAGAGATGAACTAGATACGGTTTTATAAAACTGTTACTTTGCTTCTGTTTGAGACCTGAAATGAGAAACATAAGTCAGTTTTTTATACTTATGGGACACATTTAAGATCACACTATTCTGTATTCAGAAAATATCAATTATCTAAGCAATGACAAGTATGCCATCTATTATAAATACTTTCTCTTATAAATACACCCTGGTAGTGCAGCTTTTAAATGTTCAGTAAAGACATAAAATAGTACTCTAAGTAGCTTTTCATGTCTAAAAGTATCTTAAACAATTTGTATAACATTGATGGAGCCATTGAAATATATTTTGAGTTAATAGTTGCCTTAAGTTTTAAACTGGCTTGTCTAAGTATGTATCTATACTATTTGATATATAAATACATACCTCTATTTTACCTCTGAAGGCTATATCATAGCTTGGGGAAAATACAGTTACATCTTGAAATGCAGAAAAAAACTAAGCAATGTTGTCAGTCAGAAGACTTTTATTTCATGAACGATAATGCTGTCCTAAAACACAACCAAAGGAGCTATGTGAAACAGATACCCCTATGTAAAGACTATTTACCAAGAAGTCATTTTGAGGTATTGGAGTGGTGGCCCAGTGGTGGAGCACTTGCCTAGCATGTGAGAAGTACTGGGTTCGATTCTCAGCACTGCATGTAAATAAATAAAATAAATGTCCATTGACAACTAAAAAATATTTAAAAAAGAAGTCATTTTGACTTATCTTCATTATGATTATGACTAGCTATAATCCTAATGCCTTTCTTCCCCCAGATTAAAGAACAAATGTAAAAATTGTTATCAGTGAAGATAAGTACTGGGAAACCAAAGCTGAAGCAAAAGCTCTAATAGACATTTTGCCTGTGCTTTCACTTGAAATTCTGCACATCACTATTAGAGATGTAAACATTATTTTCTCATCACAAGTCATTGGTGGTCTATGAGTTTGGGATGTTGGAGTCAAATTTTCACAGATGTATATTTGTAGTTTTTGATAGTTTTGAATTATAGAAGCATCAATAAACTTCATGACTAATAATTGCTAACCTCATTTTGAATGAATACTGTGATTATCATATGTTGTCAGGTACTGTTTTGGGTATTGTTTTCAAGGACTTCTCTTAGTGTTTCAGATATATCAAGACTAGCCTCAGAGTGATATATAGAATGTATGTGACAGCTTTAGGTTTCCTTGTTGGTGTGTGAATGTTTAAGAGTACATATAGAATTTTTTTTTTTTTTAGGTTTGGCAATTTGCTAGGGAATACATTTATTTTAATTATAGAAGGCTTGAGATGCATCATATAGAGTGGCAACTTAGTATACGCGTGGGACGTTTAATTGAGAGATGTTATTTTGAGTCACTTCTTTCATGAGTTCTGCTGTGAACTGCAAACTGTGTGCATGTGTATAAAAGGTTAAGAGCCCGGGTAGCTGAGTGGGGTGCCATGCTGTTAGCAGACGACGAAGGCAGTATTACTCACCAGGTGCACGCCGTCAGCTCTGTAGAAGATTCCATCTTCATGGAGTCATCTCCTGGTCCACTTTTTCTTGAAACCAGGTAACATTTCCCACAACAATGGGTTGACCTTGTTAGAGGTTTTCCAGCTAGAAAAAATGAAACTCTCTAACTTTAAAAAAAAAAAAAAATAAAACATTGCCTGTTGAAAGAACTAACTTGGAAGGTAAAATGAACGTGTGTTATCACTATGCTTTATGAAAAATAATTATATGAGGAATGATTTTTTTTTTCTTCCTTAAACTGGTAAGAGTGAGAAATGGGAATGGCATGTGTTACTTGGTCATGGAGATGAGCATGGAGCACTGACTTGTGGAATTTTGTTTCTAGGGATGTACAGACTGCATTTTGTGATAACTAATCTAATCATTCTGTGACTGTTACTGAGGCACAGTAGTTTTTTTGCAATTTGAATTCATATTCTTGCATATATCAGTGTCTTGGTCTTTTAATGATGTCTCACTTTTGCTTCAATCTGTGAAACTTAGTTGTAAAATAACCTAAACTAGATAGGCTTTCCAAGCTTTTAATTCTGGAAGTTTTTTACATCACCTCAGTTGTGTTCACTAAACTAAGACTTCAGTGACACTTGAATAAAATGTTCCAACCTTTACTTTAAAGCTTTATCCTCTTCATGGTAAGCTGTCATACTTGAGACTCTTGAGGGTGCTTAGCAGTGTTATTAACTGAGCATGCTCACAAACTCAGTTTGTGGTACAGGCTGTCCCCATTCTTGTCATGCATCAGATGATTTCTTTTATGTCATTACCTTTCAACCCATCATGTTACATTTTGTCCTTTATTTGGTATCATTATCACTGCCTGTCTGACTAACATCAGGGTTTTGGTTTTGGTTTTGGTTTTGTTTTCTGTTTAATTAGTAGTAACCAAATTAATGTAAACTGGCAAATCTTACCCATTCCCTTTGGGATTTTGGGGGGGTAAACTTTAATGGAACCCACTGTTTCCAAAGTTGACTTTAATCTTTGCTCTTAAAAAAGTATTGTCACTTGTCGCTTAACTGCTTACAAGATAGCTTTTGGTTCCTGGGATAGAAGATTGTACCTTAGTTACATTCCATGAATATGACCCTCAAAATTATGAGAACCCAGCCTTAATTCTCATTTCACAGGACCATGGTGGTATTAAAAAGTGATGGATTGATTTATCTAATTTCATTTACCATGTGAAGAAATTTCAAAATTTTAGATGCCAATTCCCAAGTAGTATCAAAGACATTTGCTTTTACTAATTTGTCTGCATTATATTATTTTCTTAAGATGGTGGTTATCTAAGCAATGTGTATACATGGCTGTACTGATAAAGGTTTTGGTAAGCATTACTGTATGCAATTAGTCTGACAAGTGTGCTAATACTTCCCTAAAAGTAGACTGTTATATGACTGGTGTGAGATTTTCCTACTAACCATGTTTTAAATATTAATTATATTTTCTGACTACAGGCATGTGACACAAGCTGACCTCAAGAGCTCCACGTTTTGGCTCCGAGCAAGTTTTGGTGCTAYTGTTTTTGCAGTTTTGGGGTTTGCTATGTACAAAGCATTATTGAAACAGCGATGATTAAAAAAAAAATACTGGCCCTACCAAAAACAGATACTTTTATGTACATTCTGAATGCTTTAAATTCTGCTAGAAATATTGAGATATTTATACATGCAGAGTTACTTTATTAATATTTGTAATTCATGCATAAGAATATTTTAATGATAGTAATAACTACAGTATTGGCTAGCATATGGAAAGAAAACAGCATCATAGCCAAAYTAAAATGGCTACATTTCAGAGGCCAAAAGGGAATATTTTGTAAATAATGTATATATTCAGGTAAAATATGGTCTCCCAAACTGAGTTCTAGAAATGATGTTTCTAGTCATTTCTACATGGTATTGTTAATGCTCACTTGGCTCACTCTCCTAGGTTTAAGTCATTCCAGAGATTATATTTACTCATGGATCACTTATTTATTTCACATTTACTCAAAATGATCCTTTGGGTACATGAGACACAATTTGCCATTTTCTCTCTATTTTTAAAAACACACAAGTCAATGTCTGCTTACCAACACAATTTACTTTCAGTCACTTATGATAGGCCAGCCTTGAAGCCATTGTGCAGTCTAGAAAATTGTATAGCTGAGTGTATACTCTCCTTTAAGGAGGCAGTAAGGTAAAAGCAATGAGCTGAGGAGTTCTCTATGTGATTATGTTGCTTCCTTTGTCAGTATGTGAAATTTTATAGCCCTTTCAATCAAATGAGAAAAATAATTTGTATATTATCACTGTTTTTAGTTTAAATAAACAAGTTACCCTTACTACTGTTGGAATTTCCTCCCAAAGTATAAATCATTCTATAATGGCTGTGTCTATTATAGTATATTACAGTAGCTGCATGTGTCATGAAGTGTTCTATATCTGCTAGGATAACCTAGAAGCAGCACTTTTTTAAATGGTAAAATAAATCTAATGAATATAAACTCTCATGATAAACCTATTTTTTTCCATCATTGACCTTTTCAAGTATTTAAATAAATAAATGCTGTGTACTGTGATCTTGAGTTTTTTGTCTTACAAAGTAAATATTTCTGCACAGATGTGAGTCCAGTCCTCTGGTTTCTATCTTTATTAGTTTGAAAAATATTTTTATACAAAAAAATTTGGAAAATAGTGAAGTATGATTTATAAGTTTAAGAGGATATCTATTTAAAAGTTATAAGGAAATCTATTCTTAGAAAAGGTCAATAGTTTTCCCCCATGTATACCATAATAATAGGGCTTCTGTTGTGGTTTCCATGTTCATTTTCTCCACTAACATAATTTTTCTTCTTTGCTGTTTTGAGGAACATTTTCTCATAAGATTAGACTTCCCAAACAACTAGTGACAGTATAACTCACTAACTATAAGCTTGTAAAGTAGTATACACCACATTTTAATGACAATTAATTCTCCCAAGTTTTTTTTCCATTTCGACTGCAGTATTGTTTTAAATGAATGTGCTTTATAGAAAATTACATTTCTGAGGAAGAGAGGAAAGAAGGTAGTTTGCCAAGAGGCAAAAATGGTGACTCTGTATGTTTAGATTTTCTCTCTCAATCTTTTCATTTGAAGCTAAGTGTCTTTGATTCACAAGAAGGCAGAGTGGTAGCTGCCTTCATCTTTATCTCCTGTTCTTGGCAGGACCCCCTCACTCAGGCTGGGTGGCAAGCAGAGGGCATCTCACTGCTTCCTCCTCCTCATCCTGTAGGCTCATGTGGACATTTTCCTTTATTCCACATGCACTTTAAGGACAAATTAACTTGGGGAAATACAATAATAGGCTTTCTTGACTTTCATAATTGCTCAGTAGACTCAAGCTATAAGAGTGCTAAGGAAAAATGAAGAAAATAAGACTTAGAAATTAAAAGGAAATCTTTGATTTTACACCAGTTGCATTATCTTATAAATGGACAGTTTTGAGGCTGTTTGCTATGATGTTTTAATAAGTAATACAGCAGTTTTGTGAAGAAATATCACTTTGAAGGTTTGTAGTCCTATGGCTAAAGTAACTTCAAGGGTTTGTTGCTTTTTGCCATTCATGTCTTTTCTTTTTCACATTTGACCAAAAAAATGAGTAATTTTTTATACTGTTGGTGCTGATAAATGCCAGAATAGGAGTGGGCTCAGATGTAAGGCATTTGGAGAGCATATCACCATTTTGAAATGGCTTGTAAGAGAAGTAGGCCAGGCCCAATGATGCACGCCTATAAATACCATCTATTCAGGGGGCTGAAGCAGGAGATTCACGAGTTCAAAGCCAGCCGTGGCAAATTTAATGAGAACCTATCTTTAAAAAAAAAAAGTAGGACCATGGATATCTGGACTATCTGTTTGTGCATATCTACATGTCACCTCATATCACCTGTTAGGGAATGCACCAAAGAAGATCTAACCTGATGAGTCAGTCTTGAATGAAATGAGAATTCTCTTGACCTGAGGGAAGGCAGCTGAATAACGAATGTCAGGGAGGAAACAGGTGAGTGCACAAGCTCCGTAGTAGAGCATGAATCTTCTCTGGCCCCCAGAATACAACTGTGGTTAGTTTTGATGTCCCTTTTGTATGAACTGCATAAGTCAGTATAATGTTGTCTTCAAACTATCCAGTTGTTCATCTGTATCCATGAAGGATTGATCCCACTCAAAAACAAAAATCCAGCCAGGCATGTAATCCTAGTGACTCTGGAGGCTGAGGCAGGAAGATTGCAACTTCAAGGCTAGCCGCAGCAATTTAGTGAGGCTCTAGGCAACTTAATAAAACCATCTTTTTTTTTTTTTTTGTGGACACAATATTTTACATTTGTGTGGTGCTGAGGTTGAACCCAGCGCCTCATGCGTGCTAGGTGAGCACTCTACCACTGAGCCACAACCCCAGCCCCAAGTCCCTGTCTTAAAAGGGAAATTTATTTAAAAGGCTGGGTTGTAGCCAGGCACAGTGGTATGCATCTGTAATCCCAGCAGCTGGGGAGGCTGAGGCAGGAGGATCACGAGTTCAGAGCCAGCTTCAGCAAAAAACAAGGCACTAAGCTACTCAGTGAGACCCTACCTCTAAATAAAATACAAAAAAAGGGCTGGGGATGTGGCTCAATGGTCAAGTGCCCCTGAGTTCAATCCCCAGTACCAAAAAAAAAAAAAAAAGGCTGGGAATGTAGCCCAGTGGTAAAGCACCCCTGGGTTTAATCTCTAGTACCAAAAAAAAAAAAAAAAAAAGGGCTGGGGATATAGTTCAGTGGTAGATCATTCTGGGTTCAATCCCCAGAATTGAAAGAAAAAAAAAATCTCACAAAAACACTGTTTTTCTTCTTTAGCATTTTTATTCATAATTTACATTTGCAATTTATAATCAAATAACCCAGTGATACAAGTAGATATGCTGTATTTTTTCCATAAAGATTTGACAGTTTATGAGACTTTGACAACTACTAAATTCTGTGTTAGCATGACAACAGTTATAGACAACATTTATAAACAAAACTGCATTCTAATAAGACTGTGCACACTGAAATTTGAATTTCATGCAATTTTTACCTGCCTCAGAATATTTTATTTTTCTTTACCACTTACAATGTAGGAGCCATTCTTTGCTTATATTCTATACAAAAATTTTTAGTGGTCTGGATTTGATCAACCCCTATTGTAACTGATGGAAAGATGCATGGCAGCATTTATTGGGCATCAAATTATCTGGTTGTCTTAGAATTTGAAAAATTATAGTGCTAGGAAAGATGTAAAAATACTGCAGTCATGTTTTGTTTGTATGGAAACTAAGATTGGGCATATAGGAGACTTTTTTTTTTCACTTTTCCTGATTATATTGCTCGCAGCAACATGGTGCTCTGACCAAGCTGGGGTTAATAACCTCAAAGGGCAATATGACATTCAGAAGGTAAAGGAAGATCAATTCCGCTTCTGAGCACTTGCTTGGAGCTATTCTGTTGGTCCTTAATCGATGTTTGTTTTCAGTGTGTCCAATTGTGTAAATGACATACAATCTCATGAGAATGTTTATTGTGAACTCCAGTTACCTGGGGAAAATATACCCCTGTGTATATAACCCATGTGATGTTTCTTATTTCCTTAGATTTTAAAGTCAAAATAGACAATGTGCATTGTCAAACTCCACACTTTTATAGCATACACTGAGCTCGAAAAGTGAAAATGACTGATTCACAGCCATGCTATTAGTCTGTGCCTGAGCTAGGACTGAAACCCAGCATCCTGGTTCCCCATATAGTACTTATTTCACTATAGGAGCTGACCTTTACCCAGTGGGCTTTATTATCTGCATTTTAATAAATTTGTGGTTTATTTGTTTAAAAAGCCTGGCTGAGCCTGGTGTGGTGGCACATTGCTGTAATCCCAGTGACTCAGAAGGCTAAGGCAAGAGGATCACAAGTTTGAGGCCAGCCTCAGCAATTTAGTGAGGTCCTAAGCAAACTTAGACCCTGTCTCAAAATAAAAAATAAAAAAGGTTAGTGGTATAGCTCAGTGGTGAAGCACCCCTGAGTTAAATCCCCAGTGATAATCATAATAATAATAGCCAAACTGAAGGAAAAAATGAAGGAGGATAAACCCCACTGAAGAGTTTTGACATTACTAAAAAGAGTTAAAATTGGCAAGGCAGAGTTTCTGGAAGCCTCTCAGTTCTTCCAAGGGATTTTGCCCTCATCTGTGGTAGATGTCACTAGGTAATCACTGGCATCTGTTGAGAGGGAGGGGTATAGGCACAGTGCTTAGATTTATTTCAGGTATAGATAACTGAGAGAGGGAAGTAGGGATAGAACTGTTGACAAACACCCTTTATGACTTCATTTAATTGTTCTTAAATTGCTAATTTGAAAAAATACTGTTTTATTTTTTATCTTTTGACCTATTATAAATGAAAAAAATACCTTGGAAAGGGAGCCTGTTATTGGGGAGGGGGCAAATAGAATAAAGCTTTGCCACTAACTTAACTATTTTTATCTTTCTGCAGTCAGCCTCTGAGGTTCTATAATTCTAGCCTCTTCCATCCCAGCCACTTCTATATACCGTTTGGAGCAGGAGTAGCTGAATGTGTCCAAACATCCATGACCCTTTTTACTGATTTTCAACCTGAATCTTTTTCCTTTTCTCCAGATTCTCAAAGTTGGTCATATCACCTGAAAACTTGTAAGGAATGCAGTTTTCACAAGCCACCCCCTACCCCGCTAGACCAACCGAATCAAAAGACTTGCCACCAAAATCGCTGTTAACAACCATCACTGTCCCTGTCCCTCTATTCCTGTTCCTCAACCCATGAGTCTGGATGCATGTAAAAGGTTTGAGAACTTCTGCACTAGACATTGAAAACCCCAAAATACAGACTTTGCCTTCAAAGAAGTTGCAATCTACTTAGTCATCTAAGTTATAAATTTGCTAGTAAAAATTTTGATTAAAAAAAGAAAGGAAGAAACTTTCAACATCTTCCCCTCAGGATAAAATTTAAATCTTAAGCTCTGTTACAAGGCTCTGCAAACCTGTTCCCAGACCTTTGCAGCCAAATCTGTACTCTTCCCATTCAACTATAATCACCATAAATGGGCACTTTGCCCATTCTCTGTTGGGCCTTTAGCAATGCTCCCTCTAACTGGAACCATCTCCTCCCATATCTTTATCCCTTAGGTCTTGGGAGGTCAAGGCCTGCCTGACAATGTCCAGAAGCTACTTCTTGGCATTTGGTACACTTCTATCCACCTCTCCCTCCTAGTATGGCACTCCTGCACTCATCTGTGTTTTGTCCAGAGATTCTCTTACCCTTTCTAAGAGTTATAAGGTGGAAATTGATATATTAACCAGGTCTCAGTAAATTACCTTTCCTCTGTCCCTCAGGAACTGAATGTGAGGAAGCTTTCCTGGTCTTCATCCTGCCCAACCATATCTGACACTGAACTGAGTACTGACTGGATCCTTGCATCAGCCTGCCATATACCTTAAAGTACTAGGGGTGGAGGGCTGTATATCAACGTGCTTGACTTTAACTTAGTTTTCTTG